TATGAAAAGAAAAGAGGAATATGAGTATTGGAGGTGAAACAGCAGCGGCCAACTCTCGTGTAATCCTCTGAGTGTATTTAAGAAAAAGTTTTACAGGTTTCTTCCTGAAGGCGAATTCTGATTACTAAGATCTAGGTAGGATAGAATGGGTTGCATGCCGCTCCAGGAATGGTTCCTTTCATTCACATTCATCTCAAACAGCCTTATAGATCAAAGTATTAGATTCATTATACAGCTCTGCAATATTTTCCCCAAGAACTACTCATACACTAGCTTTTTAACGCCTCATTTAAATTGTATATAATGTGCGACTATTTGAAGTTAATTATCGGATACTTTTGCCGTGTATATAAAATATATTTTGAATGCAACAATAACGTGCTTTGTTAAGTTTTTAGCATCTTATGGAGTCTCAAAGTTCATCAAATCGCCCGCGAATCTGTCTTCTAGGCGGACTTTCAACCAAAATTGTTGCGTCCGTTATGTTGTATAAGTAGTAATACTAGTAATACTCGTTGCCAATAAGTCTGAGCTAATATAGAACATTAAATAGTTTGTACTTCCTAGTTGAGTGTATTGAGTGTGTTCCGCAACACGATTCAAAACAGCGTAGCATGTGTCATGAATTTGTTTTCGCGTATCTGTTGTCCGACTTATTTAGCTGATTCCTAGTGAATGGCTGTGTTATGTCTGTCATCATTTACGCTCATGCTCGTGTATTCCCCCCTGACACGTGTGGAGAACCCCAGAGAAGAAGAATATCCCCGTGATACATGCCTGGATTTAGATAACAAAGAAATCAGTCACATTCGGTTTTTAGTGCCTTTTTTTAACTACATATTTTACTACAGTAATAAATCCCACTCTCTTCTGCATATAAGGTAAATATTTTCCAACTCATTCATGCTCATATTGTACATATATAAATGACAAAAAAAAATATTGTCTTCTCTCCTACATGATGAAACCAATTCATGCGCATCACAATAGAGCAATATTAAAAGTATTGTTTTGACAATAATGAAACCCAATATAGCGCAGCTGCATGGTACATTTTGTAATTTAAACACGGGTAAGCACATAATTCCTAATTTTACGTTTGACCTATGAAGAGATACAATCAATTCGGCATTCTAGGTTAGAGCGCATCAGCGCTAGTAGTTTGTCAATTTATTTTCTCGCTCCGGCGAATTAGGAATAATTAAAGAAGCAACTGAGCCTTGCAGTAATACATTTGTAATATGTGTCATGTTCGTATGTGTGATTGCCAATGAATATCCAGCGCGGAAATATACAACACTCGTCACACAATACGTATGTAACGCAGTTAATTCAGGAACATGGTTACTGTGTCAAGGTAGTTACGCAACTCGCGGTGGACTAGTAGTTTACACGCGTTGAGTGTGTCGCATGGGACCCATATTAAACACACCACCGAGTGACGATCTTGCCCTTGTAATATCGCCATGGCCTTGTCTGTGTGGTCTGAGTACACAAATCTTATTAATTCGGTAGGGTGGTCAACATCGGTTAAGTTGAGTTTACCAAATTAATTAACTACAAACACCACCATCTTATTTTGTATATAATTCAGTATCATTGTTTCTGCATTTGTATACACAATTACAATCATATGGTTGAAGATTGTAAAAAATCAGTACATTCTCAGAACATGAAATTTAACCCGGTCTACCGGAATACTTACTCGACAATGATAGATATACAATTACCGTTATCCACTGAGTCATTAGAGCCTTTCGATAGTGATCGGCCTTTCGAACGACGTCAGGATATTGTATATGTTTTACCCACAGGAAGATATGTTTGATCAAAGTACCCGCTAATGTCAAAGGCTACGTTCTCAGAGCGTTTTTTTCTTTCTTTCTTGCAAGTAAGAAGTAAAGAAATAATATGGGGTCATCAGATAAATTGCCAGCAACGAGCCGTTCATATATATGCTGTCGAGTGTATTAACCTTTTTCTTCATTGTCGTCAACAACATCTATCCATCGAACATGTTTGGCAAAAAAATATTAGAAATTGTTGTTATGAATCTTGGCGAGATAAAACCCAGCTGTGCAACGATTGACACTCTCTATAGCGTGCTTAAACTATTACGCAATTTTCTGACAGCAAATTTATACATTTTAAATGTGATATTGAAATAGGTGATTTTCCGTACAATTGCGAGATCTCGCGAGATGCATGAAAGACACGCGTCGAACGTCTGCGCAAAAATCGAACGATTTGATTTTGAACTAGAATTTCTTTATTTCGCAGCTTACATTGACCGGCCGATCTTCGATAGAGGAATATTACTTCCGAATACCCTTACTTAATCGAAATTGCCTATCATCAAATGTGGACAGCACATTATTAAGCATGGAAATGTCCCCCAGAATACTTTCGCGTTTGTCGAATCCCACGCGATGTTTGACGCGACTACGACGCTATGACCTTTGTTTGTCCTGTTTTTACGTTCGATTTCACGCATAACGCGTGATTCTCGCAGTGAACGGAAAATGGTCTATTCCCATTATATTTATAATTATGCAAACATAAAAAATAAATGCAAATTAATATTCTCGACTACCAGCATTGTTAAGATTATTTTAAAATATAAACACAATAACATGCGCATAAGAAAATATTTCATATTCGTACGTGTCTTTATAGATAATATAGATGGGTTAATCAATAACTGTGCTTGATCGATTGATTGATTGGTGGATGACTTGGATAGTTTGCACCATTAGTTATATAAAGTACTGTTCAGTAAATGCCAAAGTGTGAGTTCTCGTTGCATGAAACATTACCCGGGGACATCTCAACGTAATAATCAGTAATCTCATACATTGTCTTTAATTTATCACACCGATGATGACACTGATTGCTGCATGATTGTATTCGTTGAGCAGAAGTTTTATTTTAACAAATGTAATACTGACAATCATATATCAATGTTAATGATTTATACATATATATATAGAACAACATATAATATTTGTCAAGCCACCAACAGCGTATTGGTGAACACCCACGAAGTGGTCGACTTCTACCATCATGGGTCGAGTACGACCGATTCTCGAACAACTCAAATATATAAAATGATTTATTTCACGTAATGTATGTTTCGCGTTCGCAGAATAAATCACTTCCCGAAAAGGAGTTTAGTGATCAGTTTAAAGACTAATCAGTATTGTACGTAGTTATATCGAGTATTTGTTTTCACTTTCTAAGTAGGACAGGTATATTTATTTTGTATACTGAAAATAGGTGTTACCGCTTTATAAAATGTTATCCATTAATGAGCAGAGTACAAGCTACGAGCTTTTGTAGTATATTGAGTCTTATTAAGCCAGCAGATATTGCAATAATAGAACTAACATATACGTTTAAATTATGATCATTGCGTTAACGCCAAACTGTTATAACAGTCGTACTGAGCTGGACAGTATCAATGCTTAGGTAGAATGGATCACATGCATAGCACTACACTAGCGCCCTCATTGGCGTTTATGTTCATCCATGTTTCACCAATCCAATTAAAAAAACCTGCTTTCGAAATATCTTGTTATAACATATGTAATTGTATCATTTACATCTAGTTTTAAAGCTAAGCGGTTACAGCCAATTATTTGCAATATTACCGTCAAGTAGCTATGCAATTATACGCGCTTGAATATTTTATTAGGCAGCAATGCTATGTACAAATGTAATTAGAATGGCAAGCCGACATTCTGGATCGATATAATTCTTGCAATTGATAATACAAAACACTTTCGCATATAATTCACAATATTAGAGTTTTAATTCTAAGGCGCATGTTCAAGATAAACAGAGAAGCATGCATTTTTAACGTACCTGGATATGTAATGACAATCACGATAAATATATGCAATACTTCCTATTAATCATCATCTTAATTCGTATTTTTGGATTTTACTGGGTTACTTATGTTTTGCCTAACTTCGCAATGTCGATTATTCTTATCTTTTAGTGAAGTCATTGATCTGACGTGATTTCTT